TAGGGTAGGGAAGCCACTTCCTTCGGAAACCGCACTCTAAGGAATCTTGTTCCATCTTCTATGCGGGTGACTCCCCCATCCCTCTAGCTTATTTAAAAGCTTGTCGTCATCCAAGTATGCGAGCAAATGCATGAAAGAAACAACAAAATCTCTATTGTGCAACTTTTTAATTTCACAGTTTTCCCTTTTATGATTAAACCATCAGTCCTCCTCATGCTCCAATGTTATCTCATATTCCTTCATCAGTCTTGGCCTCCCCGCTAAAATGCTCATCACTTCAATCTTTTCTGTTAATGCTTTAATAATGTCCTCCGCTCTCCCGTGTTGTACCACCGACAAATCCACCACCACTGTTGCTTCTTTTGTGTAAATCCTCTTCTCAACTATTTCAGTATAATCCTTTTCTCTATGTTGTTTACCCAGTCCATTTTCTATTTGCCTCTTTGTTCCTCATGTCAAATCCATGTCAGTTGCCAATAATCCGTCCATTTTACAAAAAAAATAAAATAAAATCAACAGATCCCTCCCAAACAGCAAATCTGTTGGGAGGACACAAATAAAACAAAAATAACAAAAAACTAGAAACAAAAACACTTATTTTAACAAAACAAAGTAACAAACACAAAATGTTTGGGTGAGCCTCCCTCACCCTCCTGTGGCCCAATCACTTCCTGTTTGCTCACTAGTGCCTCTAGCGCCCTCAGGGTGGTATGGCCGTAAGCGGGGACTGCCACAAAGGGTGGGCTATTTAAAGATCAGCCACTCTATAGGCCAGTGTATTAGATAAGTAGTGAAGAAAACGCTAAAGCTTACAGCACCTGGTATTCCCAAGCAGTCTCCCATACAAGTCCTAACCAGGCCCGACCCTGCTTAGCTTCGGAGATCAGACGAGATCGGCGCAGACTTTTTTTTTTTTTATTGAAGTAATTTATCAATTCAAACATACATATCAATTATTTAACATATTAAAATACATAAGATGATTTCTTTGACATAAAACTCCTAAAATTAAGAGTTTACAGACATCTTACTTACAAACATTTAAAAAAGGAGTCATTAAATGGTTTAATCTTTTAAAAATGACAATTCCATCCCCAAGTCATTTAAAACCTTTAAGACCTCCAGAGTAAAAACATAATAAAAAGCATCCATAATTTCCTCCAACTTAAAAAAGTAAAACAGGCATTCAACATATTTCTCAACTTTTCTTTTCCCATACTGCACTTTTCATCAACATCACAAGTAAATTAATGAGCTTTTTATTTTTACATTTCTCATTAATGCCTAACATTAACACCTTTTCCCACTCAAAGTTCCCATTTCCTTCTCCTCTCAAAATTAAAATCATGCTTTTACATCTCTCATTAAAAACTTTCAGCCCTTTACAATATAAAAACAAGTGTAAAAACCCTTCGTCTGCATCCTAGCATACTTTACATGTGGCACTCTCCTCCATCCCAATTTTGTTTAAAATCACATCTGTAAACACTGCTTTGCTCCTGATAAAATACTCCAAATTTTCCAGTTTCGTCTGTACAATTTTCCCATTTATGTTCCCCCATATATTCTCTTCTTTTACATCATTGAAAATCCGTTGCCAGTATTCGTTTACAACAGGTTTCTTAAAAACCACATCTCTAAAAAAACTATAAAACATTTTCACAGTACATTCTTTAAAAGCACACAGTTTTTCCCCCAGTCTTACATACACATCCTTCTCTTGTTTGGCTCCTTCCATATTTTCCACTCTCTTTATCCATTCTCCAGGTATTGCCTTTTTAATTATGTCATATTTCTTTATCAGTTCCTCTCTGCTAAAATCCTCCTTTGCCTCCTCCATCATGTCAACAACGTACTGTACTGGTAAAAATCCTTCTTTGAATTCATATAAAACATCCCTTACCCTTGTGATTCCCACCTCCCACCATTTCCTAAAAAAGACCTCTTTCCCTTCATAAAGAATGCCGCTGTTTAAAAATAAAGGCTGGTTTAAAATGTTCTCTCTTCCTTGTATATTAAAATGCACACACGTTAAAAATTTCCCCCACGCACCCATCAATTCTTTATACAAATCTGGCAACCCCTCTGTAATAAATTTTTTCACTCTCATCCATAAAACATTATCCCCCAGATTAAAATTACCACATTTACTTAAAAAAAGATTCCATTGCTCTTTTCCATGCCGCCTTGTTTCCTTCGTCCAGATATTTGCTTATCATTTTGACTCTTAAACTGTTCTTCCTCTGCTCCACATCCATTAGCCCTAGTCCCCCCTTCCCCACTGCTCCTATTAAAGTGTTATATGCTATTCTCGGCGGCTTCCCGTCCCATAAAAAATCTAAAAAACATTTTTTCAGCCTTTTTTCTGTCCACAACGGCATTGATGCCACATATAAAATATGCCATAACTTAGAAACCATTAAAACATTCACAATTAAAACCCTCCCCTTCAAAGTTAAGGACATTAATCTCCAAAAATTCAGCCTTCTCTCGATCCCTCCTAAAATCTCCTCCCACATAGTTCCTTCTGCTTTCGTTTCATCCTTCCCCATTAAAACACCTAAAATCTTTATTTCATTCATTTCCTTAAAATCAAAGTGCCCAGTTAAACCCTCAGTTCCCCCAAATCTCATGCATACCGTTTTATCCTCATTCACTTTAGCCCCTGATCCCCTGCAAAAGTTTTGTACTATTTTCATTGCTTCCCCTACACTCGCCAGATCTTGAAGCATTAGCGTAGTATCATCAGCGTATTGAAATATTTTATTCTCTCCTCCCTCTATGCCTATCCCTTTTATTCTCCCCTCCTGTTTTACCGTTAATCCTAGTGGTTCTGCAACTAAAGCATATAAAAGTGCCGACAATGGGCAACCCTGTCTAATTGATCTCGTTAATTTAAAACACTCTGTTAAAAACCCATTACATTTTACTCTCGTTAAAGCACCTTTATATAAAATCTTAACCCATTTAATAAAATTCCCTCCAAAACCAGAACTCTATAGAACCCCAAATAAAAAATCATACTCTACCCTGTCAAAAGCCTTCTCAAAATCCAAACTGATTATAAAACCATCTTTCTTCTTTTCTGTAATATATCGTATCGTATCTTTTATGCTCATTGTTGTATCCGCAATGTCTCTTCCTTTAATACTGTATGCTTGGTTTGTTTCGATTATACTGGGCATCACTTCTTTTAATCTGTTAGCTAAAACTTTTGATAAAATCTTCAGATCGGTGTTAAGCATTGTTATAGGCCTATAATTCTTTAACTCCACTTTGTTTCCTTTCCTTTTATATATCAGCTTCATTAATCCCATTCCCATCCTTTGGTTCATCTCACCTTTCCTAAAAATCTCATCAAATACTTCTTTTGAAATACTGGTTAAAAAATCTTTAAAAACAATGTAAAACTCACTCCCCAACCCATCAATCCCCGAACTTTTTCTTTTGTTTAATCCACTTATTGCTCTTTTTATTTCTTCTTCTCTTACTTCATCATCACACTCTTTTTTATCCACTTCTCCTACTCTTGCTTTTATTTGCTTCAGTAATTTCACTTTTTCTCCTTCTTTTACCCCCTCTGTACAGAATAAGTCCTCATAGTATGATTTTATTTCTTTCAAAATGTCCTCATTTTCCTCGACTATTATCCCATTTTTGCCCCTTATTTCTTTAATCATTTCTGCTTTTCCTCTACTTTTCTCTAGATCAAAGAAAAACTTTGTGCACTTCTCCCCCTCCACTGTATATTTTGCTTTGCTTCTTAATCTTGCAGCTTCATACTTCTCCTCTTCCATTTCCTTCAGCCTACCTTCTATTTCTTTTATGTTCTCTATGCTTTTTTCCACCTTATCCCGTTCCTTATTTAAGTTTTGTCTTAGCTCTCTTTCCTTATTTTTCTTACATTTATTAATTAACTTGCAATACGTTATTGTAAACCTTTTTACCAGATATTTCACGTTCTCCCACCATATCCGCTTATCCTCATTATACATTTCATTTCATTTCCTTTTTCCTTTTTCCTTTTCAATTATCTCCTTTATACTTAAAACATAATCTTCATTCTTCAAAACCTCTGTATTTAAAATCCAGACTCCCGGCCCTCTTTTCACTTTACTCCAGTCTACTTTAAAAAATAAAAACTTGTGATCGCTAAAACTGGTTTCTTCATACTTAATCTTTTCTATAAAATTATCCACATTTCTCGTACATAAAATAAAGTCAATACTTGTTACGCACACAAAATGCCCGAATATTTGCCTCCTTGAAAATTATTTTTTCTTTTCATTTCTTTCTCTCCACACATCGATGATATTATTTTCTCCCAGTAATGCTTTTAATTATTTTCTCCCCGTGTCAGTTTTAAAAACCATCCCTTCTGCCATGTCTTGTTTACTAAAAACTGTGTTAAAATCCCCTATCATTATTATTTCCTTATACTTGTTTACGATATTTCTTTTTCCTTGCATTTTCCACATTTGGTTTTACCTTTAATGTTCTCCTTCTTATTTGTCCTCTCACCCCTCTGTCTTTTTCCATGTTGTCCATACTTGTTTCTTCTTCACTGTCCATTTCTTTGTTCTGATCATCCATTCCTTGTCCATCACTCTCCACGTTATCCCGAAGATTTTTAAAACTGTCCGATATTTCAATTTCTGTCCATTGGGTGTCCTGTTCTGTTGTCGGTTCCTCATCCTCATCATTCACTTTTTCTCCTCCTTCCTCTCGGTTGCTCGTTCCTCCTTCTGTTTCTTTTTGTTGCAATCCTTCTTCCTCTTGTCCTTCATCAGTTTCTCTTTCCTCCTCGCTGTTTCCTTCATGCACCTGTCCATCCAACCGATGTTCCATACCTCCTTCCTCTCCCTCCATCCAACATTCACATTTATTTAAAACTTCTTGACACTCCGGGCACCTGACAGCCTTACAATCTCTTGCAAAGTGTCCCCTCTCCTCACACTTGTAGCACTTAAAATCTGGGCAGTCTTTTAGCAGGTCTTCACCTGATGGCTGTGCATCACCCTAAAATACTGCCGCCCTTCCGCTGTTTCCAGCTTCGTGCTATATGGCAACGATGCCACTTCTTTGGGGAATCTCACTTTTAGGAACCTTGTTCCGTCCTCAATGTCAGTGCCCGGGTAGCATCGTCTTTTAATCTTTGAAATGGGATTAACTCCCCATCCTTCCAATTTCCCTAAAATTTCATTATCATCAAGATAGACGGGCAGGTGCATGAAGGAAACAACATAGTCTCTATTTTGCAAATTTTTTACCTCACAGTTCACTCCTTTTATTATCAGTCCATCAGTCAGTTTGTCACATGTTTCTTCCTTTTCCATTGTCAGTTCATATTCCGTTCCTTGTCTTGGCCTTAGTGCCAAGATTTGCCCATGTCCACATTGTTTTGATACAGCCTTGATAATATCCTCCGCTCTCACCTCGATCACATTCTCTACGTTCACAATCACTGTAGCCTCCTTCAGATATTTTCTTTGAAGAAACTTCTCCCTCGTGCCTTGGTTCTTTCCATTTCCAGCTCGTAGTCGATTTCCCAGTAAAGTGTCATTTGCCGATCGTGTCTCTCCGCCTAGTCCTGTGTCGTTTTCCATACGTGTCTCTCCAGCCGGTCCTGTGTCGTTAACCATTAATCCGTCCATTGTAAGAAGAAAAACAAAACACAAATAAAAAAACAAAAAACAAAAACGAAAAAAAAGGGGGTAACCACCCTCCAGCCAGCAAAATGCTGCTGTTAGGTGGTTTAAAACTGACAAACCACACAAAAAACTAACCTAAAGTCCAAAACAGCTCACAAACTAACACAAACAGAAAAAACAAAATGGAGGAGAGCCTTCCTCTCCCAACTGCAGCCAAACACTTCCTGTACACCAGCAACACACTAGCGCCCTCAGGGTGGTATGGCCGTAAGCTGGGACTGCCCCAAAGGGTGGGCTATTTAAAGATCAACCACTCTATAGGCCAGTGTATTAGATAAGTAGTGAAGAAAACGCTAAAGCTTACAGCACCTGGTATTCCCACTCATTCTCCCATCCAAGTACTAGCCAGGCCCGACCCTGCTTAGCTTCCGAGATCAGACGAGATCAGGCGCAGACAGGCTGGTATTGCCGTAAGCTGGGACTGTCCCAAAGGGTGGGCTATTTAAAGATCAGCCACTCTATAGGACAGTGTATTAGATAAGTAGTGAAGAAAACACTAAAGCTTAAAGCACCTGGTATTCCCAGGCAGTCTCCCACCCAAGTACTAACC